CTTGTTAAAGCTGGCTCATAAAGGGCAGATCCATGAATGAATTCTTGACAGCTCACAGGCATAATTGAACACAGGCTTTGTATTACTAACAAAGCCAAAGGAGGAATGTTTTCCATTTTTCCATTTTCTTCATCCCACGAGACTGTAATAAGCACAACATTAGAAGCTTGGGTTCTTACAGTCGGGCACAAGAAACTAATAATGAGCGGTGCGAGTGTCAGAGCTGTAGTGTTAACGCCTGACTACTTTCATGTGTCCTAAAGGGGGGAAAAGTGCTGGAAAGTAATATTAGCCACAAGGGGAGATAGAGGGAATCTTGCTGAGAGTAAATTAAGTAAGAGGAGGAAGAGGTGATATTTCCTCTGGTGTTCTTGACTTGGAGTGGGAAGGTCATTCCACATTGGAGAGTCAAACAATGTTCAGAAGCGTGTGAAAGTTGGAGAGATGGTGGTCACTGATGTCATGTTTTGGCCCTGTGCGGCGCAGATGGACGTACAAGGTTACATGGTGACACAAAATAAACACAAGGTTGAGAGATGGAGACACAAACGTCACAGCTTTCACTCTCTCTCACGCTGTCAGTAGTTTGTCTCTATTTGTCTGGTTCTCTCTTTCAGACTGATAATTCAGTGGACCTTCATTGGCAATATATCAGGGTTACAACTCAGTTATATTGTCACAAGACATTTAAACCATCCTTCACTGTTTCCCAGAACTCAAGGTGACGTCTTCAAAATGCTTATTTTGTCCAACCAACAGTCCAAAACCACAAAACATTTCAAATATCAAAATTGGAGTTTGTTAATATTTAGCATTTGATTTTCATGTCATGAACACAAATTGGCCAACCTTCATGAGTTAACAAGACACCAAAATTAGTCGTTGTATAAAGAAAGTAGAACATAATAGATAAATAAACATTTTTACTTATAAATGTTTTTGATTGACATTAAATCAAATTTATGGCTTCAACCAAATCATAAATATAGAAACTGAACCTAAAGTAAGTTTAGGTCTAACAAATTTGTGTACAATTGCAGCAGTCAGACATTTCATTTCATTACAAATTACTTTACAGCTTGGAACTAAATTCTTCTCTCTTAAGCTTGCCAATTAAAAACTGTTACAAAAAAAGGTTCCCTTCATGAAGCAAAACTCAACAACATAAATGGAGGATTGTTTACTAAAAAGTACACCCCCTTACATGGTCAAAGACGAGACAGAAAATAAAAAAAGCATTCTCAGTTTTACCACAACAAACAAAGTCTGAACGCTGTGATTGAATGATTAATTGATTATTAAAATATTTGGCGATTGATTTTCTGCTAATTGTTACTGCACTACAATACATTTCATCTGAGCTGCTAAAGCAATATTAATGAATGAAATACACTACAATACTAAAAATGACAGTGAATGATGATTAATAGCATTTTGTGAGTAGTTTTTTGTGATTAATCCTTTTTATTATTTTAGTCACAGTTTGTATGTCCAACATTCAAATGATACAATAAATTATATATGTACTAGCAGTGAAAAAAAATGTGGGGAGCAAAGAAAAACCATTAAGAAAAACGTCTGAAATTGAGGAAAGTAAAGTTTCATCATTGAATATATGAGTAAAGTACTTTACTTTACTCAAAGACATAAAAAAGGTCCTGATGGGGAACTCTATCGATTTAAAGCATTGAGGAGACTGCTGCATCAAGTTTAATGAATTTGTTACAGATAATGTCTCGAGTTGGCATCATTTGGGTCTGAAAGTGTGGAATAAGAGAGCTTACCTAAATACATAAAAGTATTATTGACCCCTTGTTGTAAAACATTTCCACAACAAGACCAGTTAAATTAATGTAAAAGCTACTGTAAAGCAGTGATAGTAAATTAAAGTTGATGTAAATGGGTGGGATAATGCAGAAATACATACAAAATCCATCAATAAAGCAAGAAAAGTTTGTAGAAATAACTATTATTTGACTATAATCTTCTGGTTGTCTTTTTTTGTTGTGACAGGACCGGGCATGGGAAGTCAAATGTTTCTCTCTTGCCATCACAGTGCACAGGTTCCTCTTGTTACTGTCCCTGGTTTTGATGGCGCCTGGTGCCAGCGCCTGTTTGATGATGTTGATGGATTAGGACTTTGGTGTTAATGTGTAGTGCAGTAGAGGTGGTGGTGAGGTTGTCTGCAGTGTAGGACAGGAGACAGAACAGGAACAGAGCTGCTACCACATCATGCTAAAGACAACTGATGAGGAACAGGTAAAGACCCGAGGACCAAAGGCTCCGTCTGCTCAGATGGTGGACGGGTGATTTTTTTAATTCTCTGCTGTGTCCTGTGTTCTTTTTCTTTAATCTCCACAAGTTATTTTAGTGGATCTGTTTACATATTTTAATTGATTTATCTCCAATTATTGCTTTAATGGGTTGTTTGTGCAACAGTGTGTGACTGTGATTTTTGGCTTTATAGATTTATTTTATTTAGTTCTTGACCAGAATAAAAATTGAAAGAAGATACTAAACAAACGACTATTGTGTATATAGTATACAGTACATTAAACACAGTGTTATATTTCTATACAATTCACTCAAATAGGATTCTAGCCAAATTCTTCAATTGAATATCTGAAATACCAACAAAAATTTACTTAATTCCTGGATAAATATGTTTTAGTTAATTTAGTTTGCTAACTCAGCATTATAATTTATAATTTGCACTTTCCTTTGCTTGAAACACAACAAGACATTCCACAACTTGTCATTTTCATTCTCATCTTTTTGTATTAATCAAAAACATAAATCATTCTTTTAACCAAAGGATGTTTCCTTTGGTTAAAAGACAACTCAGGTAATGACACTTAAATTTTATATCCCCCCAAAAACTTTTGTTATTTATCTAGATTTTGCATGAACATGAGACAGATGAAGTCTCGGACAATACTACAGCGCAACCAGTGAAATTAAGAGAAGAAAAAAAAGGCACAGGTTCATAATGCATATAAAATAAAATCTTAAAAATCTAGATGGTTATAACAATCCCATTTTCTCAGTGTCATTTTCTCCATTGAGCAGATAGAGTTGAGTTTGTAATTGGTTTTTTTTTTTTACTTGCAGCCATGAAAATCTTTATAATTCCAAGTTGAAAGAGAAATCCGATTTTAGGTCCATAATCTCCACTCCTTTCCAAAACAGACCAAAAAATATTAGAATGGTCTGCAGAAACTGATCCACACTCCCTCCTGTTGAGACCCTCTTCATTTGGGTTTCTGGTTGGAGCTGATAAAGAAACTGATCAGATTTTTTCCCAGCATGAATCTCTCGAGTTTCTGCAGTAGACTGGTTTTCTCCTACTAAAACCACATTTCCTCTGGTATTTCTATTTTAGTTTCCTTTTCCAAGGGCTGACTTATTTAATTGATTTAATTTTTATTCACTGAGGTGAAACCTTTGTATAATTTCTTTGTGATGTCTTTAGTGTGTTTTGAATTATAGGCATCAATAAGTTATTCTCGAGGGCTCAACAGAATCAGGGATCCTTATTTCCTTCAGAAAAAAGTAAAACAAATCTTTAAATTCTTTCCTGCTGTGATCTAAACTCTCCATCATCATTGTCTTGGCCTTAGTATCAAAGCCCATTATTCTGGCAGCAAGCCAATCTAAAACAAACTAATGGAAGTAATATTCAACCAGAACTTTGCCAAATAATTAAAAGTAATTAAAAATAGTGGTTTGCATTTCTTTGTATAACTCATCACTGGTCTACTGCAAGTACAAAGATAATGCAACAAACACTTGTTGCACTGGGGCTCATAAAAGCTGTTAGCAGTGCCACATTGTTCTGAATAACAGTTTGTGGTTTGCGGTTTAGTGAGGTTTAAAATAACGTGCTGCATGATTTAGAGGCATTGAAAGTTTTCAAGAGCCTTTAAGAGTGTAACTGCTGGCCACCTGCTATGTGGCGTATTCATGTATTAATTATAAACTTCTATATCAGTCACTTTGTCATGTGGTTGTAGTGACTCATGTTTACAGTGGACTGGTTATGTAAAGCAGTTTTTGGGCACTTACACTAGAGAAAATCTTACCAAAAGACAGATTAACACTAACTTCTCTGTGTCATTCTGTGATTATTTAAACATTTTTGCGTAAAGTGAGATTGTAGATTGTTGTTGCATCTTCATTTTATTATTGGTGGACGCAATTGTGCGCTGTTAGCTGAGCTTTCGTTCTGGTTCTCTGGGCCTCACGGTTGGATGTGTCAGCTCTCTGTGTGAACATGAGACAGAAATGTGTGGCAGCCAGCCCTCCTTATGATTTAGCCTCTTGCTTTGCTGTGTGGTGGGATGCATGTGATCTGTAGGTTTCAGTTGCACATCATAGCTGCACCTGGATCTGCAGTGTTTTACAGCTTCTATGGTTTTAACGAGTGCACTGCAAACTGATCACAACGACTGACAGGGTGTCGTGTTTTCTGAGTGAGTGTCATTGTGTGTGTGTGTGTGTGTGTGTGTGTGTGTGTGTGTGTGTGTGTGTGTGTGTGTGTGTGTGTGTGTGTGTGTGTGTGTGTTTGTGTACGTGTGTGGTTGTAGGTGTAAAGCATAGACAAGGGGAAGATGTGGAATGTCCTCTCTTCCAGGATCTTTTCCTCTGGCTCCTCTCCAACCCCTGCCTCCTCTCAGGGAGGGGTTTTTCCGATCTCTATGCCCGTTTTGTCTATTTCTGTCTGCCAGGGTATTCAGGTTGGTGTGTATCCCTTACACACACGCCGCACATTCCCCATCTCTTTCTCGTTATCTCAAGACTCTTTGCACTGGATCTAGTTTTATCCTTCTCCCAAGTCTCAGTTTTCAGAGGTATTTCTCCTTCTCTTCCCTCTCTTCTTTTCCCCTCACTCCCTCCTCCTCCTATCATCATTTTTCCCTTCTCTTGAGAGGCCCAAGAAACATATGATTTCTATGACTTTTTGTTTCAAAGTGATTGTCAGTGTTTCCCCTCGGTTACAGCTGTACGGTGAGTACAGGGAGCAGCTGGGAAACTTCGCCCGACGGGAGGCTGCCCGTTTGCTGACAGAGAGACAATGGAGGAGACAGGCAGGAGAAAACGCCACAGCCACCGGCCGCAGAGGGCATGGCCGGCGGCATCACCATCATCACCCCATGAGCTTGGAGTCGCATCAAAGCCACGCCTCCTCTACCAAGAAGCCTCGTCCCTACTCCAAATGCCAAGGTGACTGGTTATTCCATTCAAACGCCCACGTTCAAATGCTTTACAAAAGCTCTTCTAAGAAGATGCAAAACTGTTTCGATGGTCATGCTTTAGTGGTTGCCATGACATCTCATGTGGTTACCAGGAAACGGGTGAAAATTAACAAAATACCATTATCTTTACTAAATACAGTTTTGAGCTACTGGCACTCTTTTTTGTGAAATACATCACACTACATTCTAGAGAGAGCAGGATTTATCTGCTGGCTTCAGTTACTGGTTGCTTTGCACACTACCATTTTACATGCAACACGATGAGCTCATAAAATATGATGCTATTAGTTTAATTAGGCTGCCACACAGAACATGAGGCAGTTGGACTTAGCACCAGGACTGGCCGATTTTAGACATACTGAGGTCATGAGTCCCTTTATGTACTAACCTGACTGTGCCGGATGGTTTGTGACACATAACATAGTCAAACTCTTACAGAAGTCAATTGGGGGAAGAGCGAAAACATCTTTTCCATTGAGAAAAAGCTTTAGTGCCGGTCTTTGCTCTTCTTCCAGTTCTGATATAACTGATGCTACCAGCATCTACGCTTAATGTTTTAGCAGCCATTTTTGTTTTCAAGCAAACAGTCACTTCTCACACACACCTAGTGTTAAACCAAGCCCTTTGCTCATGTCGTAGCTGCAGTTAGTTCCTCATAGGACGCTGACCGGTCAAGCACATAGCTTGAAGCCTGGTAGGATGGATCCTCACGTGATTTTATGATCTTGCGAGTCCAGCTGCCTTGCAAGGTTATTAATGTATGTAATGTACCTAAGAACACAAAATCTATAGAATTTGTTATGTGGATGGTTTATATTTCATACATCATTCAACTGTTCATATTTTCTGTAAATGTCCATCTCCCACACAAAAGTCTAAGTGCTGTTTCAAAGCCTTGCCCACCCTGCAGGAATTAAAGAACTGAATGTTTGATATTTATCTTCTTCCTTTTCCAATTTCTAATATGCCGAGTCTAAAAGATACTGTTTTCGTCTAAAATGCCCAACATGTGTTTTAAGTGTAGCAAGTTAACTTTCCCCAGGTTGCTTAAAAACCCCTCAATTAGAATAAAAAAACAGAGAACATGACCTCAGTACTAGTGGAGTATATTTACTCAAGTACTGTCTTAAGTGCAAATTTAAGATACTTGTACTTTACTTGAGTATTTTGAATTCAAGCTTTATTTTTCTACTACACTACATTTCAGTGGGAATAGGTGTACTTTTTCCTCTTCATTAATTTGACAGCTTTAGTTACTTTTCAGATTAATATTTTACATAAAACATATATGGTTATGTAATATGATGCACTCTTACAGATTGAACTACCCACCAACAGCACATTAAATGGCTAAAAGGAGCTCCAACTTGTAAAATTCTGCTTACACATCAAAGCATCAGCAATAATAATCCAATGATGTATTATATAATAATATAACACACACATTTAGTACTTTTATTTATGATACTTTGATTTTTTTTCCTAATAATACTTACATAACGTTTTCAAGGCAAGCTTGTACTTCTGATTGAGTATTTTCACTGTGGTATTGCTACTTTTACTAAAGTACAAGATCTGAAAACTTCCTCCCTGCCTGGACTACAATAAAACAATTAATTCATCATCTCCATTAATACATTAATAAGTTAACACTGTTGAAAAGGGGGCTGGTCTTTCTCTGGCTAATTAGTAGTTGCTGTTGTTAAATACAGTTGTTGAACACCTCTACAATCTAATGCAAACCTGACACAGTTACCACATAATTGTACCATGTATGATAATACTGAGTCAGATAATGGTTGATTCAACTCTCTGGCAAGGCTCTTGTAGCTGTGTTATCTTATTGTATTGTAGGGTGGTCATGCTATTTTGTTACCCACCACATGAACACATTTTTGTTTCTGGTTTCTTGTTTGAGGATGGGGTTGCATTACATTGTACAGGTATACTTAGATGTGTACATTGATTTTACAAAGTCAATTCACTCTTCACAGGGAGTCATACAAAGCCTTTATACTGTAGGTGTTAGATAATGTCTTTAGTCGCTCTGTAAGAGCTTTGCCAAGTGTAAGAAAATTGCTCAACTGATATCACTTTAGTCATTTTTTGACATTCAAAGTCAGTATGTCTCATCTTGTACTGCATCAAGTTTTACCATGTGTAGTTGCCGATTGCAACTCACTCGCTTAACCTTCTTTGTTCAAGCATGAGGGCAAAACTACGGCCCTATCTAGAGCCAGTTTTGGGTTTGTCCACTATAGAAACATGGTGGTTCAACATGGCGGTACAGAAGACAACCGCAGCATTTGTAGTTAAAATGGCTAATTTTAAGGCGACAAAAACACAATGACTCCCATGGTCATTATACACTAATGAAAACATACCTTAGTGTTACATACTGCAACTCTATGGATGTGCCTTTGAGCACAATTTTGAACTACAATATAGTATTTTTACACTGCTTTTATTTTAGCCTGAATTAGTGCACATACATCCATTTGTAAATGTAAAAAAACAAACCATTCAGCTCATTCTATACTGACATTATATGTACCCTTATGGTGAGCAATAGCATCGTCACTATGCCCATAACCACACGGTTCCCTCTCAGGCACTGTTACAATAACTAACTGTCAGTAATTACATCAAGAGATAAATGGATTCAAGATGAATCATTAATTTTGTCTCTCTGTCCCAGATTGTTTGGCTCGTGTGCGGCGGTACATAGTGACCAAATTGGGGGAGGACTGGATATTCCTGGTTCTTCTGGGACTGACTATGGCTCTGGTCAGCTGGAGTATGGATTACGCCAGCGCCAAGAGCCTGCAAGGTAACACAGGCCAAGGTCAAAGAGATTATCACTGTCAGATTTACAGTTTGATAACACAAGATTCTGGTTTCTACTGTCTGTAATTATTCCATTTGTACTCCTGTGTGTAATGCACTATTTCTGTCCTCTTTTGTCTTTCTATTTCTGTCATTTTTCTCTCTTTCAGCCTATAAGTGGATACATGGGGAGCTTAAGGGCAATGTGCCGCTCCAGTACCTTGCCTGGGTTAGCTATCCCATGATCCTTGTCATGTTCGCCTCGCTCTTCTGTCACCTGGTTTCCCCACAGGCCATCGGTAAGCTCTCAATTATCTGTCAGCCTCTGTTATCCTCTCTCGGCATCTGTTTTTTTTCCTCTGTTTTACCTGCTTATGTTTGTTTTCCTCTCGTAGGATAGCAGCATTTTATCCACGTTTTCTTTATTTACTGCACTCACTATCTTTTTGCCCAGATGTTTAGTCTCCTTCTCCATCTTTCCTTTACAGGTTCTGGTATTCCCGAGCTGAAAACCATCCTGAGAGGTGTAGTGCTGAAGGAATATCTGACCCTCAAAGCCTTCGTAGCTAAAGTCATCGGGCTGACTGCTGGCCTGGGCAGTGGGATGCCAGTAGGCAAAGAAGTAAACAAACCCCCCCTTTTCATCTCTTTACTACCTGTTTTCTCTGTTTCTATCACCACCCCTTTATGATCACTTTTATCATCCTCCTTCCTCTCTTTTTTTCCTCTACCACTCTGTCTGCCTTTTCTCCCATCTTAGAGGATAATAAATCATCTTCTGTCATGTTTTTCCTCTCTCCCTCCTCTCACGGGATTGAAGCAAATTATTCAAGTCCTCAGCAAAGGAGTACATTCATTTTCCCCATTACAGTAGCAGGGCAACTGTCACGTCCAGCAATTATACAGTGATTTATAGATTTAGATACAACATGTCCCAGTTTAGGCTCCCTGTTTTATAGACAATAGTCAATGTCTGACTATACTGAACATTACATGTCGCTCATCTGTGTCAGTGATTTCCTCCCGTCACCTCCAGGGTCCATTTGTCCACATTGCCAGTATCTGTGCCGCAGTGTTGAGTCGATTCATGTCCATCTTCTCTGGAGTCTATGAGGTAAGCCAAGGCCCTGACCAAAACCGCCTACATTACCCATAAGCCTTGTCTCCTTGATGACTACAGTCAACGCACTAATGATTACGTGGAATGCAGTTTTTTGATCATAACTTGCTTTGTTTGTCCTTGGTGTAATTACAGGGTTCCCACAGAACCTAAAAATCTTTATTTTCAGATTTGAGAAAATCTATCTATACTTTCATTTTTAGCCGTGTAGCTGACAAGGAATCACGGGGTGGCAATGTGTGTTAACTGGTTGGTCGGTCCACCACAATTGTTGGATGGCTTAACATTGTACAGATATTCATGGTCCCAAAATTGTGCATACTGCAAAACCAATGACATTCACATCAGCCTCAGCTGTACTTTGTGTTTAGTAGCCAACGGAGCAAATGTTGCAAGCTGACAAGTTAAACTAAGATGATGAACATGGTACACAGTATACATGCTAAATCAGCATGTTAACATTGCTAATTTAAGACCCTTTTAGGTTCTTGAGCACAAAAACATGATGTTCTCTACCATTTTTATGCCGATGACATTCAGTTATACATGCCTTTAAAATCCACAGATCCCAGCATCATAGCAAACCTCACAACTTGCCTCTCTGACATTGAATCCTGAATATCAGAAAATATTCTTAAATTTAATGAGGATAAATCAGAGCTCATCCTGTTTGGTTCCGCAAATTACATGAACTCCGTGCAAATCTTGGTGGTCTGCAAGATAATGTTAAGCAGGCTGCTAGGAACCTTGGGGTAATATTTGATGCAAACCTCTGCTCTGATAAGTAAGTCACAAATTGTGACTATGGCAAAAAAGGTCATTTTTATCCTCTGGTGATCTGCAAAAAGTGGTATCACCCAGGGCTGCACCAACGTCTCCAGTTGTTACAGAACGCTGCTGCTTGACTTGTTACTGGGACAAGGAAATATGAACACATCGCCCCAGAGCTTGCCTCACTACATTGGTTCCCTGTCAAATTTTGAATTGATTTTAAAACATTATTACTCACTTTTAAAGCTTTAAACGGACTTGCTCCCACATACATCTCTGATTTATGGTTCATATATGTGCCCCCTCGACCCATAAGATCCGCAGATGCAGCCCTGCCGGTGACGGTATGTGACAAAAGGCGATCAAGCTTTTGCCATTAGAGCCTCCACAATACCTCACTGCCCAGTGAACTGAGACACACTACATCTCCATTGGTTCTTTTAAATCTCTTCTTAAAACTTTCTGTGTAAGGAATATTTTATATGTCTTTATTTGTAGTGTTTTTATTCTTATTTATTTGTTCTTACTCGTTCCATTGTTTTATTACTTCGGCACTCATGTCACCTTATTGTCATCTTATCCGCCTGTTTTTTTTTTATTTTCTTTGTACAGCAGTTATGAAAAGTGCTATATAAATAAAGTTTATTATTATTATTGTTTTAAAAATAATAATCTGTAATATAACAAACTCAGCTGGAGAAGAATATTTTTAGCATTAGTGAATGTCTTTTACATCAGCATGTTAGCATTGTCACTGTGAGCATGTTAGCATTCTCATTTTAGCATTTGGCTCAAAGCAGTCTTACAGAGCGGCTAGCGTGGCTGCAGATGCTCTAAAATGACAGGATGTCCTTGAAAATATCATACACAGTCTGTCAGTCTGTTTTATCAACACTTTGAAATTACTTTACCATCATTTATTTTACTTGACAGGGTTTTAAATTACAAATGAGGACTGTTTAAGTTTGCCAAACATGCTTTGAGTCCTTGAAATGTATTCAAATGTCCCTGAATTTGATGAAGAGAAAGTGGGAGCCCTGTGACTGTTGTACCCCATCTGTCTCTCTCCCACCCAGCTCACACCCTTCCCTCCCCTCCCTATTTCTCGTGTCTTTGTTTTGGCTCGCCCCTCGCACCTCGTCTGTGTTTATGTCTCACTGTATTAATAGTGTGATGGTAATGTCTGGCATGTGTATTAACAGTGACCTCCCATATCCCTGTCTCCATTTTTCCCTGCTCTCTCTATCTCCACCTCCCCTCGGCTTTCTCATTCATCCCTGCTCGTCTGTGTCCCCGCTCCTCCCTCTCTCCCCTCCCTCCGTCTCCACCTTTTGAACCTTAACCCCAGAATGGCACCCATAACCAGGACCTGTTGGTGTGTGCGTGTGCCGTGGGAGTGGCCACCTGTTTCGCTGCCCCCGTGGGAGGCAAGTCCCGCCCTGCTCTTGCCCCCCTGACTCGCTCAGGCACAGGTCTCCAGTCAGCTTTGTCCTCCTGAAATAACATCAACACATGGAGGTTCAATCTGACCTCAGACCAGTGTCCTGCATTACAAGTGATGAATAAAACTGAATGAATATTTAAACATGCAGATTAACCTGTCAATAATACTGTAGCTGAGTCTGGGATTGCACTTTGAAGGAATAGTTCAACATTTTGGGAAATACACTGACTGGCTTTCCTGCTGACAGGGAGATGAGAAGATAGATACCACTCTTATGTCTGTACGCTCAATATTAAGCTAAAGCGAGCAGGTAGTTATCTTAGCTTAGCATAAAGACTGAAAGCAGGAGAATAGCTATTAGCCTGGTTCTAGCAGACGGTAAACAAATCCACCTATCGGCACCTCTAACACCCATTCTCAAACATCTCAACAAAATCATCTTTACTGTATTTTTGAGTTCTTGTCCCGTGTTGAATATCATTAAAGGGACGACATCACTGAGAGCTGCTTCCCGTCTTTTCTTCCGTGCGCTGCTTGCCACAATATGTTATTTTATTTATACAATTTCTAATCTTTTAGCGACCCCCAGACATTTTCCCACAACCCCTGTGAAGGTCTTGACCCTCAGGTTGAGAACCACTGTCTAAGTAATGGCGTGTTCATGTCATGTTGTTCAGACTGTTGCGATAAGAACTACAAAGTATCAGCAAACCACTGGAAACATGGCCGCAAATTTAACAAATGTAAAAGGAGCTGTAAATGGTTTGTATCTGCTATCACTTTGAATCACTACAAATGTGTAACATGAAAAATGAATGCAGCAACACTGTGGCCGCTGTGTGGTTGCTAGGCAGCAGAGACCTGTTGCCTGGAAACGTGGCCAAGAGTTCCAGCACACTAAAACCAACAACTTCTACAACTACTGTTTTTGTTGTTGTTTACTTTAAACAATGAAAAACAATATAGAATAGTTTTATAAGTGCTGGTTTTTTACCTTGGAGAAAGCCAGGCTAGCTGTTTCCCTTTGCTTCCAGTCTTTATGCTAAGCTAAGCTAACTGACTCCCAGCTATATACCGTGGATTCATATTCTCCATCCTCTCACCTAACTCGTGACAGAAACACAAATAAATGTATTTCCCAAAATATTCCAATTCGAATCTAACCTCAGACCAGTGTCAGCAGTGATGAATTCAAAGTAAATCAATATTATTTTTTTCAGATTGCCCACAACACTGCACACAGGCCTTGAATTATAAGTTCTTTTCTGCATCAGGGTTTTGCTAAAGTAGTGAGATTCAAAGTCTGACTGCTTTTTCAGTAAGTCACAGATTGAAAAATATATTCGTCTAAAAAGATAATACAACAAAGACCATAAAAGACATTCTAACTCAACTAAGATTTTAAAAAAAGTTACATATAACCTTATAGTTCAAGGTCTTGAATAATCAGTTTATTATACCCTTAATTTTTTCGGTCTACAATCAGCTGCAGGGATCCGTCTCTAAGGACGGTGTGACCACTGGGTTTGTTTCCTGATTGCTTCATTGCTTCTCCTGATTATGCTCATTGGCATGTGCATCCTCTGCTATACATTCTCTTGATGTGATTTTACTCCTTCTTTATCACTTTTTCTTTTTTTTACCAAACTTCAGTGAGCATTATTTATTCACTTTATTCTACTTTGCTTCCCCTCTGTCAATTCTCCCCCTGTGATTCCCCATTACGTCCGCTTCACCTTGATCTTTTATTCTCTCTTTCTCCAACTCACTCTCCTGTCTTTCTGTCTCCGCTTTCGTCAACTTCATTTTTCCCCCTTCATCATCTCACGCCTTTCATCCCTCTCTCACCCCTTTATTTCCCTCTTGTTTTTTCCGCTGTTTTCTGTGTCAGTAGAACCCTTATGGTTACACAGATATTCTGACTGTTGGCTGTGCCGTGGGGGTGGGATGCTGTTTCGGCACTCCACTAGGAGGTACTGTACAACTTGCACACTGCCTCATACACCCAAAACTACTGCACCAAACATCCCTCTATACTGGATCATACTGTACTGAGGCTGTACCTGAGGTGTGTCTGTAGCACAGAGTATTGAAAACTATCAACTACAACTATTGTTTCCTTATTCTTTGTTAAGTTATTCATTTAGACTGTATTTTATTTTGGCAAAGACCTTGTGCAGTTGCTGGCATTGAGACGTTGTAAGATGTAAGAATAAAGCCCGACCAATACTAATATTAACATTTTTATTTATTTGTTAGGATCCCCCTAAAGCACAGCTAGTCTTCCTGGAGTCCACAATATTGTATTATTATCAGAATCAGAAATACTTTATTGATCCCCAGGGGGAAATTTGTTTATTACTGTTGTTCTACTCACGTTAAAGAAATTGTACTTATATAGAATATCTAACGCAGAATAGAAATGCATGTATAAGTATATACATATAGTAAAAAGTAAAAATAAAAATGGAAAATAGAAATATAAGAGCCTAAGAGATTTCAATAAGAGCTTATATACAAAATAAATGTAAATGTAAACATATTTCACAGTATGTGCTGACAGAAATTAAATAAATAGTAATGAGTTTTAAGATTGTGGTGTTGCAGAAGTTATAGGTAAATACAAAGAATGACATAATAAACGAGTGAATTGCACATTGACCCAGGTATTGCACCTTATATTAGTATTTTAATCTTTAAAACATCCAATAATGACATATCAGCTGGTGAATGTTTATTTACATAAATGCATAACATAGACAAACTTGTTGGTTTCTAAATGACCTCAAACATATATTTAGTATTTCCGTAATGCAGTCTGTTAAAGAGTAACGTAACACCCCCCGGAAATCCTGTTTTTGCTGACCTCTAGTGGTTTAACCTTGCTGCAGTGATGTACAGGTGTACTCCAGTACCCTGTGATGGCACTGTGTGGTTACAGGTGTCGGTACCTGATCTGTACCTCCTGCCAGATGGACAGGCAGCAAGTTTGATAATTGATTTATAACCTCTAAAGTTTTAAATGAGAACTGGACTGTTGGTGAGACAAAACAAGTACTTTCAATAGGTCAACTTCCACTTTGGGAAACTGTAGCTGTAATTTTCTGATATTTGATAGAACAAACTATAATTCAGTAATGATGATGTTAATTGCAGCTCTACTCAATGTCTATTAATATACAAAAGCCAAAAAACACAATAATAAGACTGTTTTCAATCACCAAAGAAACAAAAAAAAAGATATTGTTAGTCCATAAATGTTCTTTATTTCAACCTTGTCTTTTGTTCAGCTGTTTTATCTTTAGCTCTAATGTTTGTTTTATTGCTTCATATGCTGATTATGTCCCTGTGTGTGTGTGTGTGTGTGTGTGTGTGTGTGTGTGTGTGTGTGTGTGTGTGTGTGTGTGTGTGTGTGAGAGAGAGAAAAAGAGAGAGAGAGAGAGAGAGAGAGAGAGAGAGAGTGTGTGTGTGTGTGTGTGTAAGTGTAAGTGTTCGTTTGGTTGGGTTACAGTGTGTGTATTCACTCCCTGTGGTTCTCCTGTTGTGTGTAATTACACCCTCAGCTTCAAGTGTTTTTGGACTAATTCTGCTTATTTAACTTGTCTCCTCTCTCTCTCTCTCTCTCTCTCTCTCTCTCACTCTCACTCTCACTCTCTCTCTCTCTCTCTCTCTCTCTCTCCCTTTCTCTGTTTCTCTGTTTCTCTGTTTCTGTCATCCTTCTTTCCTCCTCCTCCTTTCTCCTTTCTCACACCATCTATACATATTTTTTCTTCTTCTTTTTAATCCCTCCTCTCTCTCTCTCTCTCTCTCTCTCTCTCTCTCTCTCTCTCTCTCTCTCTCTCTCTCTCTCCGCCTCCACCACCACCACCAGGGGTGTTGTTCAGTATTGAGGTCACGTCTACCTACTTTGCAGTGAGGAATTACTGGCGGGGATATTTTGCCGCCACATTCAGCGCCTTCATATTCAGGGTGCTCTCTGTTTGGAACAAGGATGCTGGTGAGAAGCAGAGTGGACACACACACACACACACACACACACACACACACACACACACACACACACACATACACTGTTGTAAAAGACTGCTGAGCTGGCATTTTATGGAAAGTAGCTGAATATGACAGCTAAGTAATATTTGCTTCTTTAGATAAACCAGAAATGATTCAAGTCATCAACTACAGTATACACCATAGAATAAAATACTCACTACTTGTATTAAAATCCCTGCACCCTTTATTTCCTTTATTACATTAACTTCTTAACGTTTATAGTAATTATGTCCAAATATCAAGTTTTATATACCAGATACAACTCACAGTGGGAAGACTTTGAGATTAATAAATGTCTTATATATATATATATATATATATATATATATATATATATATATATATATTTAAACAAAATTCTGTCTAATCTAATCTAATATTTATCTTTAATATCTAATATTTGTCTTCCCAAACAGACGTCAGTAGTCAAATCTCATTTTTACACAGTTTATATAATATTTTCCAAATATGTAAAACATGTAAACATGTGTTTTCAGACAGTACGCAGTTAAAAAAGATCTGTATGCTACCTGTCCAGCACCAAACAGCACACAAAGTTATTAATTAGTCAGATATTTCAGGAGAAAACAGGTAAAAAGACCTAAATATTGGACTCAAATTCATCAGGTGGACATGAACAGACTCCAGCGGGATGATGATGTTGCTTTGTGTCTGTGTGTAGCTTGTATCCACTGCCCAGCAGTGCTGTTAAAATGTTTTATCCTCTATTTCATAATCTTGTTATTTTTATGTTCTGACATTGTGAACTCAGCACAAACTCAACATACTGAGCACAGACATTATTCATTTATAAGTTATGTTTGTTTGATGTTTATCATTTTCTCTCAGTCACAATCACAGCTCTCTTCAAAACTAACTTCCGGATGGATTTCCCCTTTGACCTGCAGGAGCTGCCTGCATTTGCAATAATAGGGTGAGGATATTTATGAATACATGTGTGTACACCACTGTGTATAAAAATAGTCTTACCAGTTATATTACACACAATACATACTGTGTCCATATAATATCTATCTTTTCTCAGACCTTCGAGCAGTAAGAACAAGTTTGTCCTCGTGTTTTTAGGATCTCTTGTGGCTTCCTCGGGGCGTTCTTCGTCTACCTGAACAGACAGGTGGTCCTTTTCATGAGAAGACCGACAGCGCTCACACGCTTCCTCACCAAACAGTGAGATCCCAACACACAAGCACGACCATGCACTCCCCTGCTGCTGTGGATTAAAGAGGCACTTTTAAACTACAGTGCTTCAGATACTGTTCCAAGGAACTCAAACCATTTGCGCATTCAAACCCAATTCCTCTTAATGTGTCTCAACTCCACTTCCCAAACTCATCAGTCTCACAACACTGGCCAGTACAGCAGCAAAGCCTTAACAACCTTTCAGCCAGTTATTCACTCAATGTGGAGATTCACTTTTCCTGTGAGACTCAGCAGTCAGGGAACATTACTCTCCACCATTAGAGAGGCGAGCAGCAGCAGCAGGAGAGTCGTACAGTGGTGATACACACTCATACTGAGGCAGTTATTTCTGTTATATCACTTATTTTGCCATGTTGGAGGTTTCTGAGAATACACTAGGCTTCCTGTTCATGACTCTGTGTGTGTTTTTCTTTGTACGCCCAGTCGATTGATCTATCCAGGTGCAGTGACGCTGATCATCGCCACCTTCACATTTCCTCCTGGATTTGGACAGTTTATGGCGGGAGAGGTTAGACTGAATCAATTTCATGCTCCCTGACTTCTTTTTGATGTGTGTTCATTAATATTTATGATATTTTTGAAAAAGGGGGTCAGCAAAGAAAATTCAATTGCTCACAAGATGCAAATCCTTACGGCTTTGTTTTAACTTTTTAATTTATCGTGTATACTGTACAGTATATAATAAATATGTTGTTTTTACTTTCCTTTGTGCAACTATTCAGATTTTTGATAATGTATGTATGTGTATTTCATCATATAATATATAAACAGCAACACAATCAACAACAAAGTAATACAACATCATTACGATCAACAATAAAACAAAAGAAATCTGCAGATAAAAGGTAAAAATGGATATTATAAAATAAAACAAGAGATAGTTCATATACTTAAACTGAGTAGGCTAGTTTAAAAAGATGGGTTTCAAGAGCATTTTTAAAATCTATAATAGATTCCAGAGTACAGATGAGAGGGAGAGTTTCACAGTTTAAATGCAGCATATGAGAAAGCACTGGCACCCATTGTGCTGAGGTTGATGTCTGTCAGTGTAGGTCCGAAACAGGTCTGTGAGATGAGCAGGGGATAGGTTATGAAGTTCTTTAAAGGTTATTTGTGAATTTTTAAAGTTGATCCGTTGTGATACAGGCAGCCAGTGTAATTAAATGAGCAGAGGAGTGAGTGTTGTATACTTTTTGTCAGACCACTTGACTAAAACCACAACAGGATGTAATCAGTTTTTTATTTATATATAAAACTTGCTGCCTTTTTTCAGCTGAATAAAGTTTTGGGACCCTTTTCCTTCACTGAATCTCTTGTACTGCTCCTGGCATTACTATAGGCCGTGACTTTTTTGAAAAAGATTCATGTGAAAAGCTCAGTTTGTTTATGTGTGTCTGTCCCTTCTGGCAGCTGATGCCCAGGGAGTGCATCAACTCCCTGTTTGATAATTTCACCTGGACCAAAATCTCAGGATCTCCTGCTCCCCCCGGCCTGGGTCGCTCATCTGCGTGGCTCCATCCACACGTCAGCGTCTTTGTCATCCTCCTCCTCTTCTGTGTCATGAAGGTATTTCTCCCTCTTGCTGTGTACAATACATGTTGCCTTGAAAATATATGTGAAAAAAAAAACCCTGGGATTGGTTTGGATCCTACTTTGATCCTGTTTTTGTGTTGCAGTTCTGGATGTCAGCAGTTTCCACCACGATGCCCATCCCCTCGGGTGCCTTTATGCCAGTGTTCATATTAGGTAAGAGGATTTTGTAATGCGAGTGCAGTATCTCCTGCTGAGCTTCAGTTCAATTTGTCTTTACCAGCGTGTCTTATCTCTCTTCTCAAGGAGCTGCCTTCGGTCGCCTCGTAGGAGAGATCATGGCCACTCTTTTCCCAAATGGAATCCTCTTTGATGGGATAGTCTACCGCATCCTGCCGGGAGGTTACGCTGTCATTGGTCAGTCTACTAATCTTAGGTTATTCTCAAATTTAGGTTCCCATAGACCCTGAGACTTATTGAAGACATATAGATCCAAATTTACCATTCTTGAATTCTCAATGTCCTGTTAACTTATCTTTCTCCACTTCAAATTTGTTGATCTAGCAGTTTTCTAAACAGTTTTTCCATTTTCACTTAACCTGGTAGCATGTTTGTTCAAATGAGGCCAATATACAGTGTCATTTTGAACATGACTTTGTAATCTTAGCCAAAAAACGCTTGAATTTCCACAAATTAAACCTTTAAAGTAATTAAAAACTCTTGACTTTGATGTCAAACTCAGTGTTGTAACCGCACTCTGTGTGTTTCACCACAAAAATGAATGGATTTCACCTTAACTGGAGGTTATTATGAGATTATGAGATACATTTTAGCCATTTTTGCCCATGTGCTAGAACAGACTTCAGCCTCCGAGAAAATAAATGGATATAATAGATACTATATTATAAGAAGTACTACATTTAAAGCCCAAATTTGGATATTTTACAGGTACAGAGGAATCATATGGAGGAATAATACTTTACCCTTACTACATATCCTCCATTCTGCCTTCTGCCAGGTGCGGCAGCGATGACGGGAGCGGTCACACATACAGTTTCCACTGCAGTAATCTGCTTCGAGCTGACCGGTCAAATCTCCCACATCCTGCCCATGATGGTGGCGGTCATCCTAGCAAACATGGTGGCCCAGGGTCTGCAGCCTTCTCTCTACGACTCCATCATCCAGGTGAAGAAGCTGCCCTACCTGCCTGAGCTGGCCCTCGGGCACATCAGGTAAAGTTAAAAGAGCGAGAACCCTTATTTTATGTGTTTACATTTTCCATACAGCTGTCACTGTAAGATAAATGGTATTTATTGTAGTTTCTCTGCATCCCCAGCAAGTATAACATCTTCGTGGAGGACATCATGGTGCGCAGAGTGAAGTTTCTGTCTTCTCAATCCACCTATCGGGAACTAAACAATCTACTAGAGACCACAACTCTAAAAACCATCCCCCTGGTCGACTCTAAAGGTAGGGTGTCCACTAAATGTGAAGCTACAGCCAGGAGAAAGTTAGCTTAGCTTAGCATAAAGACTTGAAACCGTGGGAACAGCTGGCTTAGCTCTGTGCAAAGGGAAGGGAATTGCCTACCAGCATCACTAAAACTCACTAATTAACATGTTAGAGACTCCAGAAAATCACTGTCAGCCAAGAAATAGTCCCATTGTATCCCAAATTGTGTGAAATAAACAAACAAAACACAATGTGTAATATAATGAGCTTCACTTGTGCTAGTAGGCTGTGTTTTTTTAAACCTTTTTAGAGTTTAGTTTCCCCGTTTCCAGTCCTTATGCTAAGCTCAGCTAATTCCCTACTGGCTATATCTTTGTATTTAGTGCACAGACTTGAGAGTAACCTAGCGAGGAAGCTATTTTCCAAAGTGTTGACCTATTCCTTTAATCCTTCTCTCTGCAGAATCCATGATTCTTCTGGGCTCCATCGAGAGGACGGAGCTTCAAGCCGTCTTTGACTGGTGGCTCTCACCAGAGAGGCGAGTCTTCGAAAGAGGTCAGAGTTCACCAGGCCAGGGCTCCAAAGTCAGCTGGGAGTCCTTCACCTTTGTAGACGAGGAGGGAGGAGAGGAGGGCGCAGACAAGGTGAAAAAAACCAAACCATAAATTAACTTACAGGGAGGGCGCAGACAAGGTGAAAAAAAACAAACCATAAATTAACTTACAGGGAGTAGCTTAGCTTTAAAAAATCCATGATGCAGTTACTGTGTTGTGCCCGCAGACTCAAGTACAGGAGGAATGTAACGGGCCCATGCCATCCCCCAAACCTCAGGAGCCCTCCACCAACCATACAGGCTCAGGTAACATGACATTTCCACTGCACATAAAGAGTCCACCCATCAGATGTCGCTTTCTTTCTCCCCTTACATGTGTTACCATATCACGTCCTCAGACAAGCGTAAGCTGCCGTCTGTCAGAAGGACCCTTCAGAGACTCTTCTCCTCCACGTCTTCGTCAGGCCAGACTGAAACTCAGGTACACTGCTAAGATCAACCTCACATACTCATCACTTTGACCCCAAAAGCTCAAAGCGTATCACTGTACTGCTGTCGAGTTGGCAGTGACAGCTCAGACAGGGGCATCACTCCAAGATGGCAGCTCGAGCCAACCTCACTCATGTGATGGGAGGAGCGTGACAAGATGCATACATAAAGGAGTTGACATGTTGTGCAGTGGGTGGTGACATAAAACCACCAGGGGTCATTTTATCATCATCTGTATACCATTTCAGACTTACTGACTGTCCATCCATCTGTCCCTCGCTCTATCTGTCCCCCTTCCCTTTCCTCAGGAGACCACGGTCCCTCCGTTGACTGACACCATGTCCCCAGAGGAGGTATTGTACCTTATTGATTAAGCATTCACACAGCCAACAATGAGACAATCAAACCATCCAAATGAATTAGAAGCTCTGTACACTCTGAGTCCATCTCACTGCCTTGTGATTGGCTGATGCAGATCAAAGCCTGGGAAGAGGAAGAGCTGGATAAACCAGTCGACATGGAGCAGATACGTATAGACCCCTCTCCGTTTCAGCTGGTGGAAAGAACGTCTTTGCACAAGGTGAACACAGCAACACCTGGGTGACATATAAGCCATGCACCAAATACATCATACATGCTGATTTTGTGGCTTGTGGCAAGATTTTGGAGGCCAAATTCACTGTTTTCTGCTGCTTACTCCTCCTCTCAATGTTCAGATTACCATACCACATGATTATGTTAAAAGCTCTTATACACAGCTTCCAGAATTGTTTGGCTCACTCCAAAATTGGTGAGCTTGCCTATCAAATGTTCAAACCTTTGGACACAGTCAAGCTTCCCCCTATTTCCAGTCTTTATGCTAAGCTAAGCTAACTGTCTCCTGGCTGTAGTTTTAGATTTTGCACACAGACATGAGAGTGGTCTCAATCTTCTGATCCAACTCCTGGCAAGAAAGCGAATACAATTATTTTGGAGTATCACAGGAAATGTATAGTGATTTCGGAACTTCACCCATACTGGACAAAAGTCAGGATGTCTCCGCCTCCGCTGCAATCAATTTTGACCATAAGAATCAAGTCTCTTGGGAGTCTTCCAATTTATGGAGGTTTAATACTAAATCTCTGTGGATTTCAATCATTACAATTTTCTGAGTTGCCGGACATATGGGGCTTCATAATGTGGATTTTGAATATCTGTTATTCAGATCTTTACACATGCACCATTGTTTTTTTTTTATAGTATTTCCACTCTTTATAGTTGCACTCTTTCCTTCTTTGTACTGCAACTGCTGCAGTTTCCCTCGGGATAAATAAAGTTCTATCTGATCTTATATCTTAAATACATCTTGAGTCATACTCCTTTAAGGGTTTTGTATGCCTTATGGATGGCCTTGCATTATGGTTCACTGCAGCTTGTTCTCTGTCCATACAACCACAAAGCTTTAAATCTTGGATTTCCTGCTGTGACTCATGCTATGTAGCAAAGCCATAGATTTCCTCTTTAACTTGTGGAGAAATTGTTTATGAGAAACAGTGCAGCCATGCAAGCAGGGTACTGTCACACTACAATACATTTAACACTGACTGGATTATGTCCTCCTCTCTCTCATTATGCAGACCCACACTCTGTTCTCTCTGCTGGGTCTCAGTCACGCCTATGTCACCAGTATTGGAAAGCTGGTGGGTGTCGTGGCACTGAAAGAGGTAAACGTCACTTTTTTTCCTTTTCATTTTTTCTTCATCTGCATATTTTTGTCACCTCTCTTGGTTTGATCCTGTGATGCGTCATGAGAGCGAGATGTGATGATCTCATGTTGTGGGCAGTTGTTCTTTCAGAGGGTGCATCACGCTTTATTCTCTGATTCATGTGGTTATTCCACTAACCGCCCTCTACTCATCTCCCTGAATGCTCTCTTTACTAATCCAACATTTTCACTTAAACACGTTTCTTTGCTTTATGTGTTGCCTCTGTGTGTGTTTCAACCTCTTTCTGTCTTCCAACAGTTACAGAAAGCTATAGAGGGTTCAACTCGCAGCGGGGTGAGACTTCGTCCCCCTCTGGCCAGCTTCAGAGACGCCAGCAGGAAAACCAAGAAGCACCAGCCTCCTTCATCCACCCCTTCCTCCCCCACTCGGGACAGAGACCTGTGGGGGGAGGGGAGCAGGAGGGAAGGAGAGCTGGTAAGGAAGGAGTCCAAAGAGGATTCCCGAGGGAAGGCGTCATCTTCCAGAGGAGCTCCAGGTTGTGACTCTGATTCCCCCTCCCCCAGCAGCACAGGGAGCAGCAGTGGCTCTGCCACCCCAAGAGGGGCCGACGGTGCTTCAGAGGAGCCTGCATCTCCCTCTACCTCCTCCCCTACCTCATCTTCAACCCCTGCCTCCCCTGTGTCACCCACCAGCCCTGTCCTCACACTATCCTCCCTGCAGGAGGAGAGGGAGAGCGAGGAGTCGGATGAGCCCATATAGACTGCGGTTTAAGAGAAAAGACTTTTACCTTATTTTGATTTCACTCCTTTTCCCCAGACAGAGACAGAGCTGCTGTCTGGGTGGAGGAGTCGGGCTCATCTGTAGCCCTTGCAGACATTCAGCTCTCAGCGAGCAGGACGATGGTGCACACACAGCTCCTGAAACTTGTAGTACAGGATGGTTTTTTTTCTACTCTTACAACAGTCTCACTTTTTCACTCAAAATCTCAGGTGCCTTCCTGTGTCTTTTGAACTGCAGACGAACAAACATGTTCAGTCCTACATGTCACTAATGTTCAATGTCCATCCATATCTTGGAAATGTTGAATGTAGCTGTATGTCATATATCTGTTAATTTCATTAAGTACCTTTGATCAAAAATTAACTGACAGCAATGAATCGTATGATAATGAAATAATATATTGATGAAGACTTAATTAATTTGACCTAGAGGTCAAAGAGATCATGCATTTAAAGTTTACTGATTGAGATTAATTTTAAATTATAACTTACATTTATCATATATTTGATGTATGGTAAATATTCAAATCATTATTACCAGTCTGTAATTTGTAAAGATAATACATATTAATGTTGTCTCCTAGCTTATTTTAATTATTTACAACAATAAAAAATGACGATTAAAAGAAAAACTAGAGTCATTCTAGCAGCTCTGTGAGGCTGTATTTAGGCATATTTAGGTGATCTGAGCTAAATGCTAAAGTCAGCATGCAAACATGATGCTTATATGATGTTAGAATAATGCTAAACAAAAAGCAGAGGCTGATGGGAATGTCATTAGTTTTGCAGATAGCCTTCATTACAATTACAATACTCATTTTAGCCCTGGTGAAAAAACGCAGCCCCCTCTGGCGATGCAGTGGGGGTGCCAACAAAAAAACACAGGGTCTTCAGCAAAAATGTGAAGTTGGCTAAACTGTTTGACCTCAACGCAACATTACCTGGCATTGCAGTGCCCAATCAAATACACACAAGCACATATTCCTGGTAGATTACTTTGTACTACGAATGCTGTATTCGTGCTGTTTAGCTTGTGGTCTTAGCGTCGAAAGATCAAATAGTTGCCACCATGAAAACTTGATGAAGCCGTAAAAGTCTGTGAGTATTATAAACCACAGTGCAGTGTTTTGGTGTCTGAAAAGCCTCTAGATTCACTTATCTTATTCAAAGGGGCCTTCTTGGATAGTACTTCATATCTGAAGTGCCAGTGCAGTCCTGTGTGTTCTTTAAATGCCAGCTGTTTTTAGTCTTACTCATAAACAACTAATTCTAAACTGATGGTGGCACTGGTGGTGGATCACTAGAGTGTTACTATAATTCATCCTGAAGGGGGAATGAGTATCTGTACCAAATTTCATGGCAAACTATCCAATAGTTGTTGTGATATTTCAGTCTGGACCAAAGGGGTGGACTGACTGACAGACAGATTCACCATTAAAGTGAGTCAGTGATAGTGCTCCAGCATTCAGGCTTGAAGAGAGAATATCTCTGAGCATATAAACATTTTTGTGCTGTGAAGGTCAACAGTGTGTTTCAGTGTTTGGTTCCCATGTGAGCTTGAACAAATAAGCTGCTAGTCCCTGTCCTCTATCCTGTCTCTGAGAATTTGCCATTAATATTCTCCTGGCATAAAATCTCTGATAAGGACTGGAGAAAAATGTTTTTGGAAAAGCATGACAGGCTGGATTACACTGCTGCCAGGTCCTTGGTGATTGCTGTTTTGTCTGACAAGCACCAACGAGGTGGCCAGAGACAACGGCTGCCGCCAAACATGGTTAAAAAATAAGAAGACATATCACATGTGTTCAGGCTCTTGAGAGAAACAGGTGAACATGTGAGAAACTAATTATTTACACCCTGGAAAAGATATCCACACATATGCACAAGAAATGCCATTTGTCGGTTTGTTTATTTGCTCTTTCTCCACCAGAGGAAAAGAAGAGGAGACAGGTAAAGGAGCAGGAGGGAGAGAGGGGGTTTGGGGGCGGGGTGGTGTAGGAGGTTCTGTGTCGTGCAGGAAAAAGAGGGGAAAGGAAGAGAAACAGGAAAAAATGGAGAGTTGTTGACAGAAGGGGGGGGACCACGTGGAAGAACCGTCCTGTGACAACCGTCCAACAAGCATGCATAGGTGAGAGTGCCATGAGTGTACACTGGTATCACCAGTCACACTGCCTCATTTCATACAAATAAATCCAATTTTATACAGACTTTTACAGAAGCCATCCAATTATTTTACAGCACTTTTTTACAGCATTTTTTTTTATTTGCCACACATTTCCAAATTAAATCTTTTACATGTCTGATTGCCTCAAATCCCCTTTGGTTGATGTGGAAACTATTTTTCTTTTTTTTTACAGGCAGTGATTCTTCCAAACAAGACAGCAGACAACTTACTGTACACTGACAGACAGACATACAGACGGACACAAATATACAGAACAGATACAAAGAGATAGAAAGAGAGAGAAAGGAGAAAGGCAGAGGACCAGAAGCAGATTTTGAGCGTCATGCCAGCAGACAAGTTACTGTAACTCTTGGAAGATGGCAGTAGAATTATACAAAAAGAGGAACTCAATTGCAAACCGGTCGGTTAACAAAGCTGTGATCAGTAAACCTTAACATCCACATAAATATATTTGGCTTCTTGTTATTAGTTTATTCATTCATTGAGATTTCCAACAAAAAAAACAATAAAATAACCCAAATTGAAGCAGTTTCTTTTCATCCGTCCTTATAATTCCTTATGAACCAAATTAGCCTAACCATCAGTAAATAAAAAGCAATAGTCTTTCCACCACATTATGTCTTATGTCCAAGAGACTCATAAAGAAAAAGATACTGCTCCCAGAAGGGTTGGTACCTACATGAAAGTATAGACTCTGTACAAGCTGTCACATTATTCCTCCCCACCAAGTAATTGTTCAATAAATAAATTAATATGTGCCATTGTGTAAAGACAATATGTTTTCAGTTTTGAGCCCTCTCGTGTTTATGAGTCACTGAACATACGGGTCCTTGAAGTCAAATAAAATGATGATAGATTTCTTATAATCAAGAGCTGCCAAACTATCCATCTCTAAATCTTAACAAGGTGGTTTTTTGTCAATGTAGAGTGCTCAAAACCGGCCAAACACAACCGCTTTACAACCATGACACCTATTCTAACTTATACTGGAAGGGATTTTCAACAAGTCAGTAGAAAAATAAACATTGTCCCCAACATTGCATAAAGAAGCAATCAATAAATAAATTCATTCAAGTCAATAAACTTGTTTTTTTTTTTATCTTGAAAGTTTCTCACACAATCATCAAAGTGAGAGGAGAAGGTGCTCCTCCAACAGAGTAAAGATGAAAACAGTGGTTGTGTTTTGTTGTAAAGTTTGTCAGTGAGTCCGTGTTCTTCACTCTTAACTCCCGTCTTCGCTGGAAAACACCCATTCTTCCTCAGGCGAAAGGAAAAAGTCAAAATAAATAAATGGAAACATGCTTCCTCAAACATCATTAATAATCACTATCACACTCCAGGCAGCTGCTTCACAGTAATCACGATGAGCAGGAAGACACCGATCTATTCGGCTCTAGTGTTCAGTCCTAGTCTTCTGTTCTATTCCCTGATCGGCTGATTGAACGGCACACAGGCTGTAATTCCCCCCCCCCACGTGAACTCAGACCTACTACTGTTCTTTGTCTCCCCCACTGATGGACTCCAGTTTGAGTGAACAACTCTATTTACAACGCAAACATTCCTCCGTTTCTTTTGTCTTTGTGTGGTGGTACATGAGGAAAAACAAAACTCAGGCCTGAAGTGTGAGCTTGAGAACAATCCCAAAATAAAGTGGGACTGAGAAGTGTAAAAAAATAAAGAAATCATACTGTACTCGAACAGTTGACTGTGAGCGAGAGGCGATTTTTATATACTCAGACTATTTACATCTATACGACAGAGCTGGCACTGGTCTTTTGGGAAGCCAGTGTTTTGCCTGCCTATTGCTGGTTACAATTTAGATATTTGTATGTTTTGTGTGTTCTGTGTGTGTGTGTGTGTGTGTGTGTGTGTGTGTGTGTGTGTGTGCAGTGGTGGTCTAGGTGAGCAAGCAGTGAATCAACTTTCAACAGCTCCACTCCCACACGTTTGAATGATTCGCTTGTTTATCTTTGTTTCTTAAGAAAGGGTTTTATTCTGTTCCATGTGGACCACGAGGAGACATCATGTACTGCCATCTGTCTTCCAGTACATTCAAATAGTGGTTATCATCCTCAATGTATCGCAACTACGTCTATGAAAAAAAAAAAAAAAGCAGCTGAGGGTTTGTGTTGTTAAGTGGCTCGGTTTTGGTTGTCGGTGGTGCTGAAAGCTTTCAGAGTGGGAACTGGGGTAACGCTGACCGTCCAAAGGCAACCTCTGATCTGTTGGATTGCATTAGTGCAAAAGAGATTCGCTTATGCAGCTCTGTCTTTATTTCTCTGTCACGAAACTTGCCGCTCACACCCGCCGCAGGCCCACTGTGGCCCCACCTGGGATACTATGGTTCAGTGCAAAGTCTATACAGTGCTGTATAGTACAGGTACTCCATAGTACTCTGAAGAAACATGCATACAGAGAGACAGAGTAGGAAGCACACTATCTTACAGTACAATCCTTATCTGTGCAGAGTTTAGTGTGTGCAGTCGGCAGGACAGGCCTGTCCCTGGGTTGTGCCTCGGGCATCCTGGTGCCACAACATCGTAGAAGAATTTATTTTAGGGTTAATCTGCATTTCACTGAAACGCTGACATTTTCTGAGCCTGCTTTAATTACACGTGAAAATGTTTGGGTTGCCATTATTAACGTATACGGTGTGTGTTCAATGCAACGGGGAAATTAATTTGATTAAACACTAATATGTCGAGTAACAGCTGTAAACAAAGTAGTTCTCCCATAGGAAAACTCTTAAATCTTATCATACACTTATACATAGATTTTTGTCTTGTTCTTTTTTTGCTTTATTACAAAATTATTCTTATTATAATGTTTTATTATCATAGATTTTCATTATTATTATAAGACGATGACAGGGTCGAGTTGCTTGTCTTCATAAAAAGCATGCATGTTTCAGTTCCCCTCCTCTTCGTCTCAACTTGGTTTCATTTCCCTGATGGAAATGTCTCAGTCAGTTGATGCTTCTCTTCCTCCTCCTCCTCCTCCTCGTCCCTCTCTTCAGTTACCTTTGGGATGTAAGGCTTACAAAGAAATAGGTGTCCTAAATTGCATCAGCTTTTGTCTCGTAGTGAGTCCACGTCTAAATCTGTTTCTCACCATTTTGAAGAATTCACCTCGCAACCAAAAAAAGTCTTGTTTTTGATACCTGAAAAGGAACAGATTAATAGATATATATTATTATTATTACGCTCATTCCTCGCTGACTCCCCGGTCAGTTTGTAATAAGGAGTCTCTTGACAGCCAGGAACTTAGTTGGTTGCCATAGAGGCGGCTGGCCCCTCCTCGTTCTTTTCCTCTAGTGTCTGAACGAAGCTGGAGGTGACATCGGAGGCCTTCCGTTCTGTGATTGGCTCTGCCGGCGGTTGCCCCGGACTACTGCCACCAGAGGCATCCCCTTGTTGCGTGGGCGGAGTCAACGTGGCCGACTCTGGCTCCATGCACAGTGTCATCTCTTCCTCCTGATGAGGACACACACAGAAGGTTCAGTCAAGCTAGGTCACACACAGGATTGATTCACATCCATGTATTACTAATTAACCATCTAAACTGATGGATTTTTATTATGTCCTATATTGTATATATTACTGCCAACTGCCATAGGTTTATAGATTGATTTTCTGTCTTTCAGGCAACCAGCAGAGTTCAAGATCAACTAGTAAAGACTTGCTTGATATGTGTAATCCATTACAATTGACATTTAGTTGTCTGTGATGTTGGTTTGTTAAATCATATTCACTGTTTCTTGTTCGAGTAGAAAGCTGCTGAAAAGCTTAACATTCATTGCCTTTGTCTTAGGGAAATCCAACGACACAGACATCACGAAGAGGATATATGAATTTGGGAGTGTTGTGCATTAGAGGGGCAATTTAATATTACACTTTCATAAAGTTAATCTGATTTTTAGTCTGTAGTATGTCTCAAGCTACAAAAACTGGATTCCTACAATTCCCATAATGCATCTCATAAGCGTCTCTCATTAGTCCTTCCTTGCATCGTAAATTCACACTTCTTTCAAAGCCAGCCTTTTCGGTTTGTAACACTGGTTTTCTGTTAACATCAACAGGGTTTTGTTTGTTTTGTTTTTTTTTGTTTTTTTTTACCAAACTTCGGACAGCTCCCTGCAGAGCTACAAAAGACATCATAAAACGGTTTTAACAGGCTCAGTGGGTGGAAATCAGTGAAGTGCCCCTTTAAAGAGGTTGCAGAGTCAGAAGCAAACTCCTAAGTTTCCCTGCGAAGACCCATTTTCAAATCAGTCCCTGTTCTTATGCAACAATTACATCACTGCCAGTTAATGCTCTTACTACTGCTGCAACAAGCATTTGTTTTATATTAATATAGTATCTTATTTGATTACTATACAATTGTTTAGCCATTAAATGTGTGAAAAGTGTCCCCCACAATTTCTCAGAGCCTGAGGTAACTTCGGCTTTTGTTGAGCCAGCAAGAAGATGGAGAAGATGTTCAATTTACAGTACAAAGATATAAATCAGGAAAGCAGCACATCCTCTCAGTGCAGAGACTGGAAACAGAGAGTGTTTAATGATTATCAAAACATTTTATCATGGCTGTGTCAATTAGTTCTTACCACACTGGCATAAATTGAAACCAACCCATATCCGTGCCTAGATGACTGGAAATGTAAATGTTATATGATTTGTAGCTAATTGAATAAAAGCCACCAGTATGGTCTTTCACAGTGCTCGCTCAGCACTTCACAGATCAAATATTAAACACTGAAAATGTGATTTTACGTAATCTAACCAGGCGTTCACCTCACCTTGATCTCCTCCTCTTCCTGCTGCTCCAGTAGTGGGGAGTGCTCTGTTCCCACCATCTCATCTCCATAGGGAACACAGAGGCTCGGCTCCACGATCGCTGACACGCCCATGTAGCCTCCAGTCTCCGTCTGATAGGCCTCCATCTGCCCCGTGTTCCACAGATCGACCAGCGGTGGGTGAACTGAATGGACCAGGCTGTGGATGGTGCTGTTGGGGGTCGCTTGCAAAGAGTGGTTGGCACTGTGCAGCCTGTGCTCCAGCGACTACAAAACAGGGCGAGGAGGAAGAGTTAGAGCAGGGCTGAGATCTGTTGCTTGTTTTCTTACTCAGGTCTATTTTCTATGTCAGGGGTGACACAGTGCCAAGCAGCTTGACAAGACACACCAAGGCTTGTGTCGGGAGCCAAAAGGATTAGGAAGGCAATACAGTAAACAGCCTACACAGTACAGTCAGAAGGTGTTCTGACTATGCCAGTGATCAATACTGCTTTTCTTTGTGTACAGAAGATACAAGATCTTTTATATATATATATATATATACACAAGATAGAGGTTTGTTTATGTTCCTTAAACAAGAACTGTCTTATTGGGGTTAGATAGGTGAGGTTTGTGATATCCAGAAGAATCTCAATTTCTAGAAAGTTTTATTTATCCAAAACATTAATTCACTTTATTCTCCATACTGTGTTGAATTAGCATTTTCAGCTGACCTGCTGTGCTCTGACTCTTGAGGTTACACTGTCAATTAATCACAATGAATTATGAACACATTAGTGAAAAACGTTCCCTATAATTATTACAAGGTCCTTTCAAGAAAGCTTATTTTTAATGTAGACAACCTAACATACCAATTATTAATATGAAATTATAATAATATGTGTTTTTCACCACAGTAATTGGGTGACTACTAAGAGAAACTTGAAGAAGACAATTAAAAAGAAAGAAATTAAGAAAAACCATCAGTTGGGTTATTTTTTCTAATTTGTCCAAACTCAAGAATGAACTTTTTCAGTTTGAGTGATTTTTACATCTGTCTTGTTGGTTTTGAAAATGTTTTATAAACTTAGGGGGAGGGAGGGGTTACTGGGCTTCCTGAGGACATAGGAGATCATGTGTTGTGACACCAAAATCTGAGACTCTTAAGAGACAGCTCATGATCAAGGTTGAAGTATTATTGGAGTGAGTTGGAGCAACAGTAAACATGCTCACAGATTAAATTTCAACTCAGTCTGGTATCTCACAGGGACAACACCCTGAGACTCTGAGACTCCACCTGTTGTTGCTGATACTGCAGGAGCTGCTGTTGCTGGTAGTGCTGGATCTGTTGAATCTGCTGCAGCTGTTGTAGTTGACTCTGCTGCTGGAGAGTGAACTGCTGCTGCTGCTGTTGCTGCGACAGGAAGTGAGCGGCCGCCTGTCCGTCATACCCATCAGTCCCCATAACGTAGGAGCCAGTAGGGGGAGACGCCACACCGGAGGAATCGTTGTTGATCGGCTCCCAGGCATCAGAGGAGGAGAGGCAGTAGTGGCCCTGGGAGACATATGTGTGAGGCCACACCTCTGCTGAGGAGTGGTGCAATATCTGATCTGGAAAAAATGAAAAAAGCAGCAGCTGCTATTAGTGCACAATAGATTGAATCATTTTGACAATATGATCTTCATAATATGAAGACATATAAAACCTGAGAAATCCTGACGCCATGCTGCAAAACATCAGCATTTTATTTCTGCAGCTAAATCTTTAGCCTCTAATGACCAATAATTTGATAATGCTGATATAATTTAACATTTAGTGGGTAAATTATACCTTTAATTGTGTTTTTAGGTAACCTGGATTCAGAGTTTGAAGCACAGCAAACTAAATTTGTTTGAATTTTAGCTTTGATTTCGCCTGCCGAAAAAGTATAAGTAAGTTTGCTTTGGAGCTAAATCAGCTGAAAACTCAGCTAAAAAAATCTCCACATTGGCTGAATAAGTGTTATGACAGAAACTCTCCTATATGTACTGAATACAGGTTGAACACTGGTGCACCTTTCACTGTTGATTCATCACTTGTGTCAAACTGCATAGTGCAGACACAGCTTTGATTTGTGCAGCTTATCTTTCTCTCCAGAAAAAAAGTATACATTTGGCCTGTGAGTAAACACAGCCACACATTTTCACCCTGTGCTAAAAAGTTTATTTGACTTAAAAATTATGAGATAATTTGATGCAAATGCATTAACGAAGCATCATATTCATCCTACAGTGACAAAACTCCTTGAACTTTATGAGGAAGATTTTATGCTGTGGAGTAAAAATGTCCCAAATTGCTATTTATACAGATGTGGTGCGGTGGGTTTACCTTCCAACAGTCCATGTTGGAAAATGTGAAATTAATAATGAGCAAACCCTCCAGCCTGGATAGAGGAGATGGAACAGTATGTTCTCATTACTAAGCACCATGACACATGCTATACTGCAAGCTGCTTGTCTGCAACCTACACAAACATCTGACACAGCTGTTTATGACAAAACATACTATGTGCCAGTGGTGGAAGGCAAGCACACTTGCCCAAGTATTATTTTGATGTACTTTACTTGAGTATTTACATTTTTAGGAAACAGTTTTTCTCTGCTACATTTATTTGATAGCTGTTGTTACTATTAACTTTGAAGCTCGAGGTACAAAACATATGATCAAGTTATAAAATATGATTCAAATACGCATAAAAATATATATTATTACTTTAATCACTCCACCATCTCTCTCCCTGTTGCATGTCCACAAGTGCATGAAGTGTGTATTTCAGCCTATGTGTGTGTGTGTGTGTGTGTGTGTGTGTGTGTGTGTGTGTGTGTGTGTGAATAAAAAAAGTGAAAGGTGAAAAGAACAATTTCCCCTAGGGGATTAATAAAGTATATCTTCTTCTAACCAGCTACAACATCAAATACTAATAATAATCCAATAATATGATATAATAACACTCACAGGGGCTATTTATGCTGCATGATAAATACTGATAATACAACAGTCATTTTACCTAAAATTTTTATTGCTTAATTTTAAATGCAGGACTTTCACTTTGAATAATACTTCCTTCACCACTGCTCTACGTCAAATTCTCTTACAGCATGTTGTTGATTTAATATAAATTAACAACATGCTTACACCTGGGTGAATCTGGGCTTCCTTCCTACATAAACCTTCATGCTGCAGTCATATTTGTAGTCCTTTACCTCGACTGGTGATGCTCTCCTGGTTGACCTCACTCAGATGAGCCACGCTGCCCTGGTTAGAGCCCGACCGCGGGCTCTCTCCATCCATCGACGACCAGGCCATGAGTGTTGCCTGTGAGATCGCGAACTGCTGTAGGATGCCTGAGGTCAGAATTCAAAGGACGAGCCAGGATCATTGCGAGGACCTGCATTATTCTTAATTGGCTGAATAATTGGCATGAATCCCAGAAACAGAGGCGATGAGCACGTAATTCTGCTGATGACAGTTAACAGGCTCTGTGGAGTGCCTGCCCTCATCTCTCTCTCTCTCTCTCTCTCTGTGTGTGTGTGTGTGTGTGTGTGTGTGTGTTTCCAACCTGCAGCAAAACGGGCCTCCTTCTCCCCATCACTGAGGTCACTGTAGGCGTCGTTCTCCAGCCGCCGCTCCTTTTCCCGCTCCTGGGTAGTGATGCGGGCCTGGGGGATGCCCCCTGCGCCCACCGTCTGCATGCCCCAGTTTTGCCATTCGATCATGTGAGCGACACGACCCTGGGCCATGGCTGTGGGCTTGGTCACTCTCTCCTTCATGGTGCGGGAAACCCCTGGTGGTGGAAAACACATGGGACAGAGGAAGGTGAAGTGAAAGGATGGGTGTAACATAAATGGAGTGAGAGATGAGAGTTTGATGCAGTCGTGATCAGAGGAGTCGAGGGATAAAGCATGTGTGAAGGAGAAGATAAAGTGGTGGGATCAGAGGATGGACAATCAGAAAGAAAGGGGAGAGATAGACATAAGATAGACATGTTATCATCAAGTGTGTATTGCTGTTTGGTCAGGGGTGCTGTGATGGCTTATGAAACTATGGTATATCCAGTAGGGTTAGACTGATAAACTGGTTTGGAAACTGGGAGGATCTAATTGGACAGTCAGTTCTCAGTTCTCTTCAAATATGATGGATATGATGCTGATTATTTAATCACATCTGTACTGTGTGATTAATAATAACAGGCTGACCTGAAATAGTTCAGGTTTATATATAAATATGTATGATTATAGTTTTTAAGTGTTATTAATGAATAACCTCTGTGATGTTTGGGGCACATTAGCTTAAAATATCAACTATTATTTAACAATTTTCCCCCCTGGGAATCAATAAAGTATTTCTGATTCTGATTCTGACTATTGGCAGCTTCAACAAAGATAAACCAGAATAGAAAAACAATATCAGTCAAATCCTACTATTTAAATGTGTGTAGTTTAATGAGGGTCATAATGAACATGGATTAGGAGAATATCTAAATGACAAGGGTTGTAAAGGTGACATTCATGTGTTTAATGAGCCTAAGTCATGGTTTGTACAGGCTGCAGGTAGGAGAGGAGGGAATGGATGTGTCTTGTCTGACAAAAGTGCATTGTGGGATGGAATAGGTTAATTGGGGTGAGGTGGCTATGTGGCATGAGTAATGAGGTTGGCTTGTTGACATGATATCTTTCACACCTCTGCTAAGCTGCACTGGGTAAGCAGGAAACTGCTCTCTTTCGTCTCGCTGTCTGTCTCAGAACTTGACTTGACTGCAGACTGTACACTTTTTAAAGAAGAAATTAATTTTCCCCCCGCTGCCAAGCTAACACCAGCTGACATCTGCATAATGGCTGTGCTCTGCATTTCATGTGACCCACACATGATGACACATACTGTAAATCCCTGGATGTTTGGTTCTCTCTGATGGTGGCGCATGGAGATGAGATTTATGAATAAATTATGGGAATAAATTATAGGACAAATCAGTACCACACCACATAGCTGCACTACACTTCACTGTACTGTACATTTCATACATTTCACTGCACTCAAATAAACTGCACTGCACAAAACAGCTGGATTAAACCAAAACCACTGCACTAAAAGAAAGCAATTCATTACACTGCACTCAACTCTGTTTAAAACACACTTTACACATTTAAAAACATCCACACTAATAGTTGTTCAGGACACCACAACTTCACAACCACTTAACATAAAAAAACTACACTTCCTACTCACCACTCACCTTTTCTTACAAGCTGTATGACGATGCACTATGTGTGTGTGTGTGCGTGTGTGTTGTGTTTTTCAGGCTGAATTCATTACATCAATGACTCATGAGGAGCCATTGACGAGTGTTATCACAATGTGGGGAGGAAGTGATACAGGGGAACCCGTTTTCGGGTACCATGCTGACTCCAGCGCCTGCCGAGGTGCAGAGCCAACATGGGGTCGGTTTACCAGTTACAGCACAGACACACACCTGACACACCTGACAGAGAAGACTTAGCCAGAGCCCCGATGCCGTAGGCGTTTGAGTTCCTCTTGAGCCGAGGGAGTATTGACGTGGTGTCTTCCATAGACAGCTAGAGGAAGAGAAGAGAGAGGAATGGAGGAGGGGGAAAAAGCGTGGAGGAAAGGATAGTATGGGAAGTGTGACAGGGCACACAAAGACATCGAGACAGTGTGTGTTCGAGAGGAGTGAGTGGAGAAGAGAAGTGATGGAGATGTTGGGTTAATACAAAATATAAAATCTGCATTACCCAAGTCCTGATTCCAAGCTACTGTGTACTTTTTAAAAATTCTGCACTATTAAGTGATTCGGATTGTGCTCACTACTGTGCACCACTACGATAAACCGAAAGAGATCAACTGTAAAGCAGAGGTGGAGGGGGGTCATGAGGAAGGAAAGAGCTGATCGCTAAAGGGTGAGTTAAATCAAAACAGGTGAAAGAAATAGAGGAAGAAAGGGAGTAGATGAAGGAATGGTGTCACAACACTTACATTGATTCCTTCCCATGAAAATTCTGAACGTCCATGCTGAGGAAGAGAAATAGGAGGAGAGAGGGATGGGGAAAGAGTAAGAGAGTGACAGGACAGAGAGAACATTGACATGCATGGGAGAGTAAATGGGAGAAGGAGGGATTGCACAACAGCCATGCAGGGGAAGAGAAAGAAATTAAGAGAAGGGAGAGGAAAAAAAGATTGACAGATACACAGGATTTTCCAGGAACGAGGAAGGAAAGAGTCAAGGACCAGAATGACAGGGAGAAGGGAGGGGATTAAACAGGGGATCAGTATATTTGCTTAGTTATGTATAGCAGAGTGAATACGCTACGGATGGATGAGTCTTCTCTCTGGTTACATGTGCTGCCAAAAACACTGAAAGCCAGCGGAAAATTGAGTGTGCGTGTGAGAGAGAGAGAGAGATGTCAGTGCTGTGTCGAACGGTATCTGATGCTGCAGACAGACAGGGGACTGAGGCTAACAGGAGGATAGGGAGTGTGTGTGTTTGTGTGTGTGTGTGTGTGTGTGTGTGTGTGTGTGTGTGTAAAGGCAGATGCTGAGGACAAAGCAGATAAGCAGCAGCCTCTGCCACACCATTTCTCTCTATCAGCCAGACTGACACTAACTAGACTGGGGACACTGGTGGGTTAGTGGCTGCGCTGAAATGTTTTAACCTTTGTGTCGATCTGCACAGACAGTCGAGGCCGAGCAAAGATAAATCAGTCATTTAACAAAACTAGAAAAATCCCACTTGTCCCCAACATTTATTACACATATATCCTCTCCAGCAGCTTCATTAGTTTTCCTAGCATGTCACGGTCATGCCTCCATTTTTATATATTTAAGACCCAATATGACCAGCAGTGGTGGAAACTACATATACTGTCAATAGGTGGAAGAAGCACCCAGATCCTTTACTTAAAGAATAGTTTGACGCATATTTACCTTCTTGCTAAGAATAAAATGAGAGAATCATGAGAGGAATGTGCCGTAAATATGAAGCAGCAACCAGCAGCTGTTTAGCGTAGCTTCCCTTACAAACTGGAAACAGGGGGAAATGAGTATCCTGACTCTGTCCAAAGCTAACAAAATCCCTCTAGTAGAACATCTAAAGCTCACTAGTTAACACAAAATACTAAATAAAGCACCACTGTCTCAAAATTGTACTTATACAATACGTATATATAAAAAAATGTACATTGTTACTTATCACTGCTGGACTGTTAAATGTGAAGAAAAGGTCATTTAATTCTGAGTGACATAACGAGGGAGTGGCTACTGGGGTCGTGTTCACAATCTCCATCAGCTACATGCAGCATGTATCCAGATAGCTCGCCGTCGTTAATCGATATCAGCCTCTTCCCGTTCTTTTCTTCACTACTTCTTTTTCTTGTAATTCTATTCTTTGCTCCCACTTCCTCGCTCTTTGACTCTCTGCTCATCTCTCTCCATCTCTCTCTCTCTCTCTCTCTCTCTCTCTCTCTCTCTCTCTCTCTTCCACTCCCTCTGCAGGAGTGGGTGTGTGATGAGAGATTTAACACACTTGAGTGGCTGAGCTGGACCCCTTGAAGCAGCTTTTCCTATGTTCCTTCCAAAAGCCCTGACAACGCTGATGTGTGTGTGTGTGAGTGTGTGTGTGTGTGTGTGTGTGTGTGTGGTTGTTTTCTTTCCTCTCTGTAGGACTGAAGGGCATTCTGGGGCACAATGCATAAATAAATGATGAAATCAGTCCACAGTGCATTTGGTGAAAATGTAGAGTTCTCTACATTTTAGTCCAAAATGGTTCCCTCTCCCGTGTCCTGTCTCAGAGGGATCAGTTTTAGAGCATGGGATCAGTATAGCAGCAGGAGAGGAGAGGAGAGGAGAGGAGGATATAGTAATGGTGTGTAGAAGTTGGAGGAAAGAGAAAGTGATGTCTCTGCAGTTTTGCTTTGAACAGCACTGAGCAGTGACTCTATCAGATTGGCATCAAGCAACAGACGTCTTAGCAACGGCAATGAGCCAACCAATCCAGCGATTGTTCAGTCTTCCAGCTACGCAACCCCACCTTGAGCGGGGAAGTGTAGTGGAAGTTAAGCGACTGACATTGACATGATGTGTGCTACTTTACTAATCTACTAGCATAAGCACGGGCTCCTTGAGGGAGAGCTATTGGGGTGAGTCGCTGTGGCTCGTTATGTTGCTGCGAGTTTTAAATCAGCAGCCATGTTGGTTCCTCAGGTGGAGTAGAAACAGTCCACTGTCAGAGGAAGTCAACAGGAGGAGCGAGCCAGAGGGATTGCTTAAGACTTACCTGCTCCCCATCCTTCTGGACTGGCACGCTATCTGCCGCTGAGAGCAGGGTAAAGGAAGAGAGAAACAGAGAGAAAGAAGAGAGAAGGAAAATACATTTTTATTCTTCGTATATAATCATCAATCAAATCACAAAAGGAGCCTTGCTTCCACAAAATGTTCACTAACCTTGCGATCCTACCATTCATGAATCTTTGGCTAAGGTTCAATATGGAAGATCTTTTCTCTCATGTTCGGACTTATTCCTCTACAGGTGAATTTCTGCTATCTCTTCCCATTTAATAATCTGTCACTTCCCTTTTGTCACACTGTCAAAGTCACATTCATTTTCGATTCCCACCATGAGAACAGCAAACACACGCACACACAGGTAAAAAAATATACATATTGTTCCCTTCAAAGGGTATCTGAGTCATAATAACAATAAAAGCACAACAGTACACACACTTTGAAAAACGTAGGGGAAACATAATACAATCAAATAAAAACACCAAAATAATAGTTTAATACTGTTTTCAGCAACGGATTAGGTTTTTCTGTGACAACTAGCAGCTTGGGAGTACTAATGATACAAAGCTGGTGGACAATCTGCAAATTTTCCCTTTAATAGTTCATTAAATTAAGCCTATCTGGTGTCACTATGAATCAGATTAAATTGTAAATGCCTGTGTTTAACTTTAAACAGAAACTGGTAAGACGTATTGTTCATTAGTTTATAAATTGAAATCTTCATGGCGAATAAGACTCTGATTGCCATAATCTATCTATCCTGATACTTTGTATATATACCTCTGTTGATGGAGACTAAATGCCTTTCTGTCCTTACTGAACTTCCTCTGCATGTAAAAGGCACCTGCATTTGAGTTGATAATGCACTATGAAGCGTCAGTGGCAGATCACACACAAAGCCATCCATCCAGCATGCTGTAGGTGAGAGTCATCTGAAATACACGCTCTCTGTTGGATAAATGAACGTTATTATCCCTCCTCTTTCCTGGCTGTCCAAATCCTAATTAAAACATTGGTTTAATTAGAGAGACTGTACTCGTAATGGAGTTTAAACACAGCCTCGGTCTCTAGGTGCCTGCTCTCTGTATCAGAGGGTCTGTGTGCGCAACCCTCAGAGGGGCTCACTCCTGTATCAGCACTCTATGTGTCTGTGTTTGCATGCGTGTTTGCTGAGCCAATCACATTTTTCACAGCTGCATTTGGCAATCATGAGCGTCTCCTCGGGAGCTCTGAGAAACACAGAGAGTTGTTGGCTCTCTGGATGTCCAGTGATGTCTGTGACCCACTGACCCAGTGATTCGGAAACATCAGCTCCACTCCGTCTCTGTTGGGCTCCCAGATATTACCCCCCTCTCTCTCTGAACTCCATCCAGTCGCATCAGATCACTGCGAGGGCAGGAGACAAGGGACAGGCTTCATTCCAGAAACTGACCCTCTTTACTCACACAAGGAAGGGTGTGCCAACTACAAATCAGAACCATCTTGTTTCATCTGTTCATTTAACACAGTATTCAAACCTGGGATCTTCTCATTTCAGTGGTCTCCTGATGTAATCACTGTACAGCTGTCTTTATATAGCACCAGCCTGTGATCTTTAATACATTTTGAGGAGTTATTTCCAAGAGTGTTTTATCTCCTGTTTCGTTCAACCCAGTTTTCCTCAACCCACTTTGTGTATTTCTTCTATAGTTAGTGTTTCCCTAAATACCTCCATCACCACAGAAGGTACATGAAGTTACTGTATGTATTAATAGCTGTTTGGTTGTGCATTACCAGGGTAAATTTACCTTAAAGGGACACTCCACCGACTTTATGTGCCAAAGTCAATTTCCTACACACGGGGAGTACACAGCCTGAAAAAAACAGATGTATAATCTCCTCTGTGACACTCCAGAAGTGACATTCCCTAAGAATCTCGCTTAGGTTTGGTGGCTACTGTACATATTCTTAAAACAAAACTTGTCTAACAAATTGGGGACGTGGAGACATAACCATGTACAGGAAAGGTCTTGACCTCCAATTTTATAAAAGTGCATTACTAAATTGTCACATTAATATTAAATATTTGTGGGACATATTTCCAAGTTAATGAATGACCAAACCTACCCATCTTCACTGCTCTTTATGCAAACATTAAAATACATAATTCAAGGGCAGAAATGTCCCACAAAATGTCAGGTTTCTACAGTCAAAATGTGTGTTAACTGTGTTTAAGGGCACTAACAGCAGCTGTTGACAGTAATAGCTACTCTGCTGCAAATCTTTTTGTTATTAAGCTGTGAGAAACTGTGTGAGTGTGAACAAGGTGTTCCTGGAAAAGAAGATAAAGAAGCTACTTTGCATCAGGACTTGCCATTTTTAGAGAGGGTGGACACATTTATATTCAAGTGCTATTTTCACTATTAGAAATTAACTCTGTGTGACCTCAGGAGATTTAGTCAAGCGTGTTTGACTTTTTGGCACTGTGGAGTGCGGTGTGAGATGGTTACTTATTGGTTAATATTAGTTAGACAGAGAGATGTCTAATCTTCTGCCTGGGTGGGAGAGTGTCCCAGATTTCTTCCCCATCTGGGTTAAAAAAAAATCTGCCCTGCAAACACAAACTGAACATATATGCACACCCACATACATCGGGCCTACAGCAACATACAGAATGATGCGCAGGGACACACACACACACACACACACACACAATGCTGCTCCCTCTCATCCTCTATTTCTCTCCCTCTCTTTAGTTTTTCTCAGTCTCGCCCCTCTTCATCTCTCAGCCTCGTTTGGTCAATTAGTAGATTAGCAGTCACTCTCTCCCCACATGAATCACAATGTGGCTCAAGAGTCCTCTGGACTGCCACAGTACAAACTACCAATGGGAAGCCCTCCAGCTTTTACACAGCGATGGACCAGAAACAAAATAAATACAGTGTGTGTGCCTTTGTAGCTGTATGTATATTATCTAGTGTGTGTGAGCCTCAGCCTCATATGAGATCACATCAAAGCATATGCTATTTATGAAGTGAGCCACAAGGGTTTGGATGTCTATATCATGCTGTGATTAGTCAGAGCTGTTTACAGTCAAAATATCTCTATAGATAATGGGTCAGTAGTCATTATACAGCTTCTCAGTGGTTTCTTAAGCCATGGCATGCTCTGTATTTCTGTACTCATGTAGGTGATGCTCTTGGGCTCTCAGCAGCACAGTAAGTGAATGCGTAATTCTGCTCCTGAGAAGCCAAGCAGGATCTCTCCTTGAGGAAACAGCAACAACAACAACAGAGCACATGACCAGAGCTCTGAGCCAGCTTTTCTTCCCCTGGCACTCTCCCTCCTCCCCTGCACACACGGCGGTGCAGCGCTGGATACCCCCCTGCGGTCATAGGGGAGCCAGGCTTAGCTCAGCCGAGGAGAAGGAGCGAGGAGGAGTAAGGGAGGGTGGGGAGATGGAGGAGAAAAAAAGAGGGAGCAGCGCGGCCGTGCGTAACGAACAACCAAAGATCTGCAGCGGCTGCACTGTCAACTCCAGCTCTGACTGTAGTGGCTTGACGGCTCCCGCTGAAGTGGGTAGCATTTGAGCGTCATCTGTCTCCTTTACTCCCATTGCCCTGCAGCAATAACAGCAAGGAACCAGAGGGTTTGGTGCTTGTTTACAATGACAGCTGCAGTAAGGCAGGTTGCCACGATGGGGTACCGGCTTGGATGGCAGCCCTCTTGCAGCAATATGTGCAGATGCCGGGTTACTGAGCTCGAGAGTTCAGCAAGAACACAGCTGAGGACCAGAAATGGGGCTAAGTGTGTCACAGGACATAATCCACTCATATGCAGGGGCTCTGACATACACTTAAACAGACACTCACAGACACAGCATGAGATACTGCCATTAACTTGGCATTCCCAATCTACATGCCCCTGTCATCAGCAGGCCTGACATGCCTCATTAATCTGTTTAGGCATGAATGTGGCTGCCGTCTTGTACAGGCTCCATCACTGATGCAGGGTAAATAGGTTACAGCATTTCAATGGTGCACCGACTGTGGTAACTAAAAATCTACAGCCTGTAGTTTCCCCAGCATCATAAACCGGATCACTGCCATAAACATCTTAATCCTCTGCTAAATATATAATGAATTTGAAAAAAAAAAAAAGGCGGTTTTTCGATTCTGTTTAGATGAAGGGAAGAAAAGCTAGGTATGTGTACAGACATTGTGTGCAGGAAATCTTCATTTTGTTCTTGATATTCAAAAGAGACTTCCTGTCTTTGAGAACCTGGCCTTTTTTCTTTGTCAGCACTGAAGTTGTTAGTAGCTGCAGATAATAACACTGAGACAATCAACACTGGTTGCACACTGATGTTGAGCACATCCACAAATACACATAAATTCACACTCACACACACATAACCACACACACAGATCAAATTGTAGGGATGAAATTCTCTCTTTCACAGCATTATGTTTCAATTTCATAACACACTCTGTGGCTGAGTCACATTGTTTACAGAAACACCTGCCATCATGTGCCCACACAGAGGCCTCTTACTTCTGATCTGCCACATACACATACAGGCTGAAAATGATATGTACAAGGGCATGCACACAAACACATCCATATACATTTAAATCAATTCCCCTCCCATAATGATCCAGGCTTGTAACCTGGCATCCAGTGACAAGGCAAACCATAATAGCACACAGTGGAGAATATGACTGAGAGGCTCTCACGCACACATATATCTTTAAGCAAAGAGCTACATGTGCTACAGTACATTGAAGTCCTTGGATGTATAAGGATACACACACACACACATACGCTGACACACACTCACACTGGTAAGGGTCATGAGGTCCCACCGTGTCTCTGAGGTACTACATCACTGAGTCATTCACCTTGAATGTGTTCATGTGCACAAGGCTTTTCCAATCTGGACTGAAGCCAATCAATCAGCCTCCACCTCAGTCTGCCAGATTTGCCAGTTTATAGGCAGACTGCGAA